ATCCTTCTGCAGTAAGTGATCATATGCTAATTTCTGTCTACCATGTATGAGATCAATAGTGATCTCCCCCAAAATATTTGATGATTATTTAGAGTACAGAGAAAAAATCCTAATTTTCACATTAATATGGATCAGTTAGAGATAACAAAAGCATATATATTTATTTACTGAAAATAGGAAATGCCAATATATGTTACTACTTGAACACAGAAATATAATATTTAAATTATTATTTATTATTATCCACTGCCAGAAGACACAAAGTTTTTTGTTGTTGTTAATGATAATAATATGTTGCTGCTGGGTATGGCATATACATACTTGCCATGCCCACTATGAGATTAAGTTTATTGATTGTCTTTGCACATAAATAGCTCCACAAGTATTAGGTCACCAATGAGCCAATTATAAGTAAAACCTACCCTACCTGTTTACTCTTTGCCTTGATTTTCAGAAGTAGTTTCCTCCCCAATCCCTTGCCCATTGTTGTCATGGGGGAGCTTAACCCCTTCTTGACGGGTCACTCCGTGAGGCACTAAAACAAACCACTCGATCTGGCCATGAGACCCCCACCAACATTGTCAAGATTACTTTCCATAGACCTAACATCCCTTTTAATGTTTACATTAGCAGCCTCCCCCCTGTCAGTGTCAGAATTGTCGGCATCTAGGCAACTAATCACTAACTTAATCCCCCTCCCTACCTTTCTAATACTGTACCTTCCTATAGTGCTGCATGACAGATGTCTAGCACATTTATTTTTGCTTTTAACCCAATGCCGCTAGGGGAAATGAACAAAAAATGGGGAAAATGCTGTGCCCACTTTCTATGTTTTTTTTTGTGAAATGTCTGCCGATAGATGGCTCTGCTAGCACCTGATTTGAAATGGCGGGAAAAACGTATTTTTCACTAGTGCTATGAAAATCGATGGTGTTATTTTTATCATAAACATTATAGTTATTATAATGTTTTTTAACATTAGTAACAGCAAAATAAGATAACATAAAATATTTTTTAAATCAAAGAAACGGGTAAACAGGCGCGATGGGCGGTACTCGTAGTTGGCTCATTGGTGATTTAGTACAAGTGTTGCCATCTATGCGTAAAAACAATCAAACAAGTACTCACGGTGGGCATAGCACGTATGTACACGTCATACCCGTGGGCACTGGGTTGACCAGTAATCATCAGTAATGTCAATAACATTATGATCATAATAATGTCTATAAAAAAGAAAACAGCATATTGATTTTGTTAGTAAATGAGGTGTTCCTGCAAACTCCAAGAAAGTGGAGCCATCTCTGTGCAGACATTTCACAAAACATGGGGTTAAAACAGTATTGCTATTTGGAATGTAGGTTCTTAGCCCAACGCTGACGGGTATGACATGTACGTACATGTTATGCCCACTGTGAGTACTTGTTTGATTGTTTTTACACATAGATAGCTACACATGTACTAAGTGACCAATGAACCAGTTACGAGCACTGTCTGTCTCGCCCGTTTACCCTTTTCTTTGATTTACAAAATATTTTACGTTATCTTATTTTGCTGTTACTAATGTTAAAAAACATTATATTAATTATAATGTATGTAATAAAAATAACACCATCGATATTCATAGCACTAGTAAAAAATACATTTTTCCCCCCATTTCAAATCAGTTAAGGTCACAAGGTTTACTAATTGACTCCTTTGTGGCTAAGCACTAGCAGAGCCATCTATGTACAGAGACATTTCACAAAAAACATAGAAAATAGGTACAGTGTTTTCCCCTCTTTTTTTTTTTACATTTTTCCCGGCGGCATTGGATTAATTATAACTCATATTTTATTTTTTCTTTGGTCTCTGAAAGGGCTACAAAGGTATCACCTGCTTTGTCATTGATGCTGGAACCCCTGGCTTATCAATTGGCAAGAAAGAGGATAAGTTAGGTCTCAGGGCCTCCAATACATGTGCAGTACATTTTGATAATGTTGTGGTGAGTGTTTACTTCAGAGTTCAAAAGATATATATATATATATACCTCATTTTGTTACAGCTTTAACCCATTCATACTAAGTGTCATCTTGACACATCATGGAAAAAAACCAACTAGATAATACATAATCAATAGCAATATTAGCAAAAGAAAAGATTGACTGTATGTGATTATTAATATTGTGACAATACAGGATCCCTAGGGTAGTATAAGTTAAGGAGTGTAACGGAATTAATTTTTCTGTGATATTCATTTGAATTCTCATAGTGATGTGAATAATTATTTCCTCCTAAGGTACCTGAAGAAAATATTCTTGGAGAACTTGGACATGGTTATAAATATGCCATTGGAATGTTAAATGAGGGACGTATAGGTATTGGTGCCCAAATGGTTGGTCTGTCTCAAGGATGCCTTGATGCCACCATTCCATACCTGCTTCAGCGCAAACAGTTTGGGAAATCTTTGTTTGATTTCCAGGTACTTTTTATTTATTGTACTACAACTGTCAAATCTAAGATT